CAGGCAAGCATGGCCTCTGAGCTGATGCCACAGCAGATGGCAAGTGCAGCACGTGGTATGTCACCAGCTTCTTGCAGGAGGTTTCCACGGCTGCCACAAGTCATAATTATAAGCATAAAGGCAGCACTCACTCAGCCTGCTGGGGGCCAGGCATTGTCATGGGGCTCGGCGTGCTCCCGGAACCCCTGCACAGCCTCTACTGTAGATCCTGTTATCCCCATTTTACTGACAGGGAAACTGAGACACACAGTGCCTAAGTGGCTTTCTCTGTAGATGTCACAGCAGGCTGATCCTCAGCCTCCCAGCCTGGCCCCCTCTCCCTTTGTCTGAGGCTGCTTTGGGAATTCACAACATTCATACCTCTTATGTCAAGTTAACCTGTGAAGATGTTTGAAATTATCTTTCTGCCTGTAGATCCTAGCTCTAAGGGATAAGCCCAGGGCCAAAAGCACTCACTTCGGCAGGACTCCATCCCTGTCTGATTGATATACGGTGTTGAAACACATGTAATAGGAATTTGAGCGGCGAAGAACCCAGAGACCTCTGGTGCTTTAGTTAAGGTCACACAGCAAGCCAACAGCAAAGCCAAGAACAGAGCCCTCGTGGGCGCCTGGATGGCTCAGTCAGCTGAGTGTCCAACTCTTGATTTCAGCTCAGGTCATGATCCCAGGATCATGGGATCCAGCCCTGCATCAGGCTGTGCAATGAGCGTGGAGCCTACTTATGATTCTTTCTGTCTCTCTCTCTCTCTCTCTCTCCCTCTGCCCCTCTCCCCCATTCGTATGCACACTCTTTCTCTCTAGAAAGAAAGGAAGAGAGAAAGAAAAGAAAGAGACGAATAGAGCCCTCAGCCTCATGCTCCTGGCTAGAAGTAGAAACTTCCTATGCCCTGCCTCAAGGCAGTTTGGCCTACTTACTACAAAGAATGGCCTGGTACCCTGAGCTCAAATCCCACCTCTGCCACTTCTGAGCTAGGTGACCTTTGGCACATGGCATCTCTTCTCTGGGCCTTTATTTTCTTGTCTGAAAAATGGGGAATAGCAGCATCTACCTTACTGGGCCTCACCTTGGGGAAATGACTTCACCCTGCCCCCTGTGCCTCAGCTTCCCTGTCTAAAATGGGAACACAGTGCTGTGGTGAAGTTTGAAGGAATTCTAATGCATGCAGAGTGCTTTGGTTGTTAGATTCGGTCACAGCCTAATACCCCCTGCCACTTTCTCCCCTCAAACTGGGAACCAGAAAGGAAGTGTGGGAAGAGGAGGCCCAACGGCCTGTCCCAGTCCTGCCACCAACTCGCTGGCCAACTTCAGGGAAGTCACAGGACCCCCACTTTAGCCCCTCTGTGCCCTGGGGTGGGGAGCGTTGGACCCTTTCAGTCCCTCCCCAGTATGACTTTCCATGATGGAATTTTTGGGTCCCAGAGGACAGTTTAAAGGAGGATTATGGGATTCTGCATCTCCCAGGGGCTGATAAGAACATATGAGGCCCTGCCAGTACCGAGACTCCACAGAGCATTTACCATGCAGACAGCTGACCTCCAGGTCACAAGACCAGGCGTGCTGCCTCCTCTCAGGTAATAGCAGCAGCCTTGTCACATTTACCAAGCCCAGCTATGCACCTAGCACTGAAAATCTATCTACGTTCTCTCTTCCAAACATCACAACCACACCCTACACACGTGGCCCCATTTTACAGATGAGAAAATAGAAAATGGAGGCTCTGAGAGGTTGACTAACTGTCCAAAGTTACTGGCCAATTTGGAGCCAGAATCTTCCCAAAAGTAATTCCAAGGAATTAGGAACTGTTGTATTTTTCCACTTTATTAGTGGGGAAACAGGGGTCAAGGCTCCTTGGGATTTGGACCCAGAGCTGGGCTTCAGATTCTGTGAGCTTAACCACTATGTCCTACCTTGTACCAGCAAACAAAGGCAAAAAGCCAGAGCCTTAAAATCTGCTGAACATGTGTTAAATGGGGATCCAGCCAACCCTGGTCCTCTAGCCTCTCCTCCAGGGGCCCACCTGAGGTCAGCTTCCCCTGGATGGAGTGCGCAAAGCAGCAAGGAGTGACCCACAGGGCCCCCAAGCAGAATGAAGTGTCAATACCTGATCCCTGGAAATGGGGCGGATGATACCCTTTATCACCCAAGTGTAATTGTTTGGCTTGGGCAGGCTCGTGGCCAGCAGGCCCCCAAGCCACGAGCTGGATCTTTTCCATCTTCTTGGAACCAGAGTGAGCCCTCCATGGCCCGCTCGGAGCTGCACCCTCCCGTGTTTATCTAACTTCCCTGACCTCGGCAAGTGCTTGTCGCCTTTCTCTTCCTTTCTGAAAAACCAGGACACAATAGGAAGCATTTTCTTGAACTTATTAAAAAATCCAGACTTGTAAATTAATTTGTCCGTGTTGTACAAAGGCAGTGCAGATGGACTCATTAGCATGCACACAACAAATAATTATAGATGAATTTTTAGCTGGCCTGCCTAATGCGCTTGCTGGGTTAATTATGTCAATGTATAATTACATCAGCCCGGGGAGACATAATGGCATACCCCGCTGAGCAGGCCCTGCCTAATGACGGGGCGTGGGGGGAGTGCTGACAGAGGAAAGACGGCCCGCGCACCTGCTTACCTCGGCACAAACGCCCATTGTCAGAGCCTCCCGCCACCTAAGCAAACAGGGGTGGGAGGGGGTGAGGGAGAGGGATAAAACGCAGAGGCGACCTTGTTCCAGCCAGACCTGAAGGCTCCTATGTATAGGCACTGCCCCGTTTCTTCCATCAGCAGATGTTTATTGGGTCAGGTTGCGTGGCAGACTTCGTTCACCCACGAGGGGTCCAGAGGGGAGCAAAATCAGATGCAGTCCCAGTCCTCCCTTGTGGAGTTTGCAGTCCAGTGGGTGATAATTAGGTGGACTTGCTAATCAATGAGAAGTGTAACTAAAATGAGAGCTGTGAAGGAAAGGCGCAGGCAGCTGAGAGAGCTCCTATTGGAGGAATGACTGGTCAAGGCAGGCTTCCTGGAAGAAGTGGCATTTGAGTTGCAATATGAAAGGTGATTAAGCATTAACTAGCTGAAAGAGGTTAAAAGGGAGGACAGGGTGTTCCTGGCAGAGGCTCTTTCTTGTACAAAGACTCCACAGTAGGGAGGTACATTTGAGGGACTAAGAGAAAGCCAGTGTGACTGGAGCTCAGAAAGACAGGAATAGCCAGGGCTTCTATTTGTTCCAAGATGACCAAATGCCAGTCGCTGTGTTGAGCACTTTATGTGCATGGATCCTCATCCCAGCCTTATGAGGTCAGAACTTTTTTTTTTTAATTTTTTTTTAACATTCATTTATTTTTGAGACAGACAGAGACAGAGCATGAACTGGGGAGGGGCAGAGAGAGAGGGAAACACAGAATCGGAAGCAGGCTCCAGGCTCTGAGCCGTCAGCCCAGAGCCCGACTCGGGGCTCGAACTCACGGACCGAAAGATCGTGACCTAAGTTGAAGTCGGATGCTTAACCGACTGAGCCACCCAGGCACCCCATGAGGTTGGAACTTTTATGGTGAGGCACAGAGAGGTAGGGTTGCTTGCCGGAGTCACCCAGCAATCCTAAAAAGCAAGTACGGGATTAGACCAGGACCCAGAATCCATGCTCTTAATCCCGCTGCACCCCAGCAGAGAACAGTGGCTGAGCGGGTGGTGGCAGGAGACTCCAGGAGAGTGAACAGCAAGAGAGAGGGCATTTGAAAGGACTGTGGACCAGACCCAGGCCCCTTTGTCTGGGGCAAAGAGGCTCTGGCTTTCCTGGGCCCCCATGAATACCCACCTGGGCTGCTGGGTTGGAAATGTCCACATCTCTGGGACAGGAAGCCTTTGCGGCATCTGAGAAAGAGACCCAGACTTGAAACTCACCTCTGCCCTTCAAGTCACCTGGCTTCTCTGAGCTGGTTTCCTCATCTGTGAAAATGAGTTGGATCCAAGCCAGCCTCCGGGGGATGCTGGGAGCATCACGGGAAACCATGCCCGTGAACAGCTTTGTAGCCTAGAAGATGCCACACCAACCTCTGGCATTACCCAGGTGTTTGTAGTACCTGCCGAGGGTGGGGAGTGGGGAAAGTCACGTGGAAGAAGTGCTGGCGTCTAGATCTGAAGGAAGAGGAAGTGCTTCCTAGATGACAGGGTGGGGAGGGAAACAATTCCAGGCAGAAGGACCTACACATTCCTCATCTTTTAGCTATTGAGAAATTGGGGGGTATCTTACATCCAGGGATGTATTTCACCCCCAGAAAAGCCATTGTTCAGTCAACCTCACATGCAACAAATGGTGGTGTGTTGGTCCAGGTGCACTGAGAGGTACCGCCAAGGATTAGATAGGTAGGTAGGTGGATGGTATTGAGGAAACACAGGGGAAGAAAAATGGGGAGGGAGGTGGGAGAAGTGTCAGAGGAAGGAGAGGCAGGGAACTGGGTGGCAGCATCCACACAGGACAGCCTGAGCAGTCTGTGCAGTGCTGAGCAGGCCCTGGGGGAGTCCTTGGTGCTCAGAGCAGTCCCGTGGCCCTCAGGAGTCGGCCCCATCCTGGCTGCCTGCAGGCCTTGTCTTAGAAGACTGGCCTCACGATGGATTTCAGAGCGAGGTCCTCGTTTAATGACCTCCTGTGGTTGGAGGTATGCAAGACAGTCGCATGGCCGCCACAGATGGCACCATGGAATCCAGAAAATGCACTTGCTGTGACGGTTATCATCGTTAGTAGTATTCCAGGTGGGCAGGACACGCATGCCCCTGGGGATGGCACACGCTCCACTGAAAGGGTACCTGAAGTAGACGGCTCCCTCATAAAGCAGAAATTCTACATTGGTCTCCTAAGCCATCAGAGCAACTCCAGAAGGCTCTTGTGCATGGTCCCCTCCACGCCAGCATCCTGAGAGGGACCCCCCAGGCCCTGCGGGCTTAGCCTGGGCAGCCCTCAGCCCTCAGGGCCCCCACCACTCCCGTGCTCCTCTCTCTGTGTGTGCAGACCCTGTGCCTGTGTTTGAGGCAGCGCGCGGCCTAGACGACAGACTGCAGCCCCCCAGCTTCGACCCCAGCGGGCAGCCGCGGCGAGACCTCCACACTTCGTGGAAGAGGCACCCCGAGCTCCTTGGCCCTAAAGGTACTGATAAGGCCTTTCACGGGATGTCCATAATGAAAAAACAGGCTGTGGATCTTCAACAGCCAATCTTGGCCGCCTTTGGAGGTGTCGGGGGGCAAGGAACTCAACTTTATCGTTTTAGATGTAGGATGGGTTATGGGTACGTCGCTGCAGAAACAAACCAACGCGAAATCCCAGAAGCTTAATATATTTGAAGGGTGGGAAGTTGGAGAGGATGCTCCATGGAGTCACTCGGGCAACCCAGCTGTGGTGGTCCCACCATCTTCAACACATGACATCCAGAGTCACAGTGACTGTTGACAACTTGCCAACAGGCAAAGAAAAAATGTGGAGGGTCATACTGAGGTTTATGGGTCCAGGCTCAGAAGCGGCCCGATTCACTTCCACAGCCACTTGTCATTGGCCAAAACTCATTCATATGGCCACACCCAGTTGCAAAGGAGCCTGGAAAATCTACTCTGTGCCCAGGAGTAGAGGGAAACAGGATATGAATACAGCACTGTCTCAGCACCAGATAAGACAAGTCAAAAGACTAGAAAAGCTAAAAATATAGTTTAGGTATACATATATTGTGATAAAAATGCTTAAAATCAAGAAAATGATGAACAGAATTCATCATGGTGGTTACCTCTGGCAGGCGAGGTAGAAGGTCTCCATGGGGAGAAGCACATGTGCACTTGAAAGCTCTTGGTAGCCATCTAAAGGTGTTCATTGAGCTTCAAGCCCAGCACTGTCATAGGCACTGGGGACATAGCCAGGAGCAAAACAGACAAAAATCCTTGCCCTCGTGGCACTGACCTTATAGAGGAGAGACTGACTGTCAACCAATAAATGTTAAATATATAGTATTTCACATGGTGAGAAAGATTAGGAGGAAAATTAAGCAGAGAAGAGTCAGGTTTAGGGATACTTGTCTAAGGAATAAATGAGGAGGATTCACCTCAAAGTTCAGCAAGATTACCTTCTCTCTTTTTTTTTTTTTTTTTTTTTTTTTTTTGTAAAGGGCCAGAGAGTAAATATTTCAGGCTTTGTAGGCTTTCTGTTACAGCTACTAAACACTGTTAAAAAAAAAAGCCATAAAACATATGTAAATGAGTGGGTGTGGCTATATTCCAGTAAAACTTCATAAACAGAACAGGCAGTGGGCCAGATTTGGTCCAAGGGCTGTCTTTGCAGAACCCTGGTCTACCTCCTAGAGTTGTGGAGAAGATAATGGCCTGAGGCATGCCAAATCAAAGTTTGACTGCTGTGGCACACTCCCAATTTCACAGCCCCCTCCCATCCCCCCCAGTGCCTAGTGGACACCTGCTGTATGCCTAGTCCTGGGCAGAGTCTTCTGGGGAAGATTTATGGTGACTAAAATACAGCACTTTTGCCAACTCTCTTCCCGTACCCAGAATGCCCTTCCAGCCTCCCTGACAAGCCAGCTTGTCCCTCTAGGTGCCTCTAGGGTTTGAACTTCCTTCTATCAAATAATAGTAGTTGTGGGAACTGCCTCTTCAGAACATTTGCTCTGTGCCAGGTGCCTTTCACACAGTGTCCCACTGTCATCTTATATCAACCTTCTGAGGTACCACTGGCCCCATTTTACAAAGGGGTAACTGAATCTCAGAAGCAACAGGTGGCCAAGCAGGGATTCAAACCAAGGGCTCTTGCCCTTGGCCCTAGGCTATGTCTCTCCTTGAGAGCACTTGTTACTCTGCATCGTAAGGGTCAGACCTTGTTTGTTTGTTCACTTCTGTGGCCTCAGCCCCTGGAATATTCCCAGTGTATGTGTGCGTGTGTAAGAACGAGCCAGGCCCTGACTGCTCTGTCAGGCCCTCACTCTGCACACTGCCCAGCCCTGCACTCACCCTGCTGTGCCAGGCTCACAGTAGGAGTTTAACAACCAGGACTGAACTTAACTGACTCAGGCCCAAGGGCAGGAGCCCAGATTTTGGAATTCTTGAGACATCCACGCTTGATGGCCGGCCCTTGAGCAGCCTTTCTCTCCATGAAAAATTCAGTACCAAAGGCACACACTGATCCCCTACAGGAGCCACCAGGGGCTTGCAAAGGTAGAACTGATGTGGGTCCTGCCCAGGGGCACCTGCAGATGAGGTCAGCTATGACTGAGCATCTGAGTATGTGCCACCACCTATGGAGAGGGGAAGTTAAACCTAGAGTTACCCCATGGCCCGGCCATTTCACTCCTAGGTAATATATACTCCAAAGAACTGAAAACAGGTGCTCAAACAGAAACGCATGTGCACATATTCACAGCAGGGCTATTCACAACAACCAAAGGTGAAAACAACCCAAATGTCTATCAGCAGATGAATGGGAAAACATTTATGACATATCCGTAAGATGGAATATTATTTAACCATAAAAACAAACCTAGATGAACCTCAAAACAGTTTGCTAAGTGAAAGAAGCCAGACACAACAGGACATACATTATGTGTGATTCCAGTGATATGAAATATCCAGGATATGCAAATCCCCACGGACAGAAAGCAGATTAGTGGTTGCCAAGGGCTGGGGGAGGGGGAAAAGGCGTGACTGCTTAATGGGGACAGGTTTCCTTTCGGGGTGATGACAGTGTTCTGGAATTAGTGCTAAGGGTTGCACAATACTGTGAATGTACTAAATGTCACTGAATTGTATACTTCAAAATGGTTAAAACGGTGAATTTCATGTTATGTATACTTGCCCATGACTCTTAAAAAAGTAAGAAGGCCAAGGAGGCTAGAACAGGTCCAAGAGGGCAAAGGAAGCACCTGGGCCTGCTGTCTGAGGCTGGCACTATGGGGACTTGACTTTTGTGCACACACACCCCCCACGGCTACAACCCAGCCGACCATGTGATGGCAGGTCTCCACAGCCGCACTCTCTCTAACACTCGAGTTTGAGAAAGCAACTCTTATCCCAGCACTGCCGATCTGTCCAGTTTGCAGAAGGCGGCTCTGGCTGCCATGTCGCTTCCAGCGATGGGCGGTTTTCCCTCTTTTCCTCCCTCCAGAGCAGAGAGAGGGGACGTCTCCGGCCGGACCCACGCTGACCGAGGGGAGCCGCCTCCCAGGCATTCCCGGCAAAGCCCTCCTGACAGAAACTTTGCTGCAGAGAAATGAGGCAGAGAAACAAAAGTGAGTGGGGAGGAACAGGCGGGGCCCTGCTGCCCCACCTGGCTGGGAGGTGGGACCATCAGGGAATCTGGATTCAGGTTGGAGATAGAGATCCAGGCCTGGTTCAGTGGCCAGCCCTGGGCAGGTCACATCACCTGTCTGAGCTTCAGTTTCCCCAGCTGGGAAATGGGATCAATGGTGGTATATTAGGCAGGGTTCCCCAGAGAAATAAAACCGGAAGGATTTTTTATTTTAATTAATTAAGACGTGTATTTCAAGGACTTAGTTCACACAGTTGGGGCTGGCAAGTCTGAATTGGTAGAGCTAACCAGCAGGCTGGAAACTGTCAGGCGGGAGTCAGTGCTGCAGTCTGGCGGCAGAATTCTTCCTCAGTTTTATTTTTAAGACTTGCAACTGGTTGGATGAGGCCCACCCACAGTATTGAGATTATTCTCCTTTACTTAACGCCAGCTGACTGCAGATGTTAACCCCATCTGCAGAATACATTCACAGCAACCCTGAGATTCGTGTGTGATTGGACAACTGGGTGCCAAAGCCTGATCAGGTGGGCAGGCCATATCAACTCCTAGTCTCTGGTCAGAATGAATGTATGCACTTAGCTCAGTGCTCACTGGGAATATGTCAGTAGATGGTTGCCCTTACAGCTGATGTGGGAGCAGTAATACCTGGATTATTATAATTTCTGGATTCTTGGGGCTTTTCTAGGCCAGTTTCGTGGTGGTCATTACATTTAGCCTTTCATTCACTTATTCCTTTATTCATTCATTCCATGTACTTATGGGACCACCTGCTGTGTGTCAAGCACTGATCTAGGGACACAGCAGTGAACAAATGGACAAACCTCCCTGCCCTCCTGGAGTTTACCTTCTCATGAGGAAGACACAAGTTAAACAAGATAAAGTCTGCTACATGAAGATAAGGGTTGTGAAGGAAAAGAAAGCAGAGAAGGGGGGATGACACTGAGGCTGAAGTTTTAAATAGGGTATAAGGGGAGGCCTCACTGAGAAGGTGAGGAAAGCCCTGAGAGGGTGGGGGTGAAACTTGAAGATATATAGGGGGAGAATGTTCTACGCAGAGGGGACAGCCAGTGCAAAGGCCCTGAGGTAGAAACATGCCTGGTGTGTTTGACCAGCAAGGAGATGAATGTGGCTGGAGTGGTTTGAGTGAGACACTCACTTTGCCAATGTGTAACACACACCTCACCCTCAGTGAGAGAGTGAGGGTGTAGGATCAGAGGTAAAGTTCCTTCTCTAGAGTCTCTGATTCAGACAACATAAGACCCAAGCTTTGTATAAACCTTCCCCCAGTCCAGCTAGGGCCCCTGTTTCTCTGCTGAGACACTTGTATCACACCTAAGCTCTAGGCTATAGTGGGCTGGATGACCATCCCCAACTCCTGACACAGAGAAGGGAAAAAATGCCTCCCCGGGGACAGGAATAGTAACTAATGATATTGAGGGAACACTGGGTACCAGGCATCATACTGAAGGTGTCTCACAACACTCACAGAGGCAAACCCCACTAGAAACCTTATTGTACAGATGAGGAAACTGAGGCCCAGAGAGGCAAAGCCACTACCTGATGTAGGTCCACCCAAATGCTGCCACACAGTCAGCAAAACAGAAAGTGGCCAAATGCCTGAACGTCATGTTGAAGGACCCTGTAAAAAGGCAGGGGTGTAGATTACAGAGAACAGGTGAGAGGGGTAGGAAGACAGGAGGGCCACCTTGGGGACCCAGGCAGGGCCCATCCACACAGGCACGAGCAGAGCCATTCTGAGCAGGCCCAGTCTCTCTGCAGGGGCCTTCAAGAAGTACAAATCACTTTGGCAGCCAGACTGGGGGAGGCAGAGGAAAAGATCAAAGTCCTACATTCAGGTATGTATCTGGCATGTGTTCCCTGGCCCCGTGCAGCTCCCCAGCCCCGTCAGACCAGGAGGAGGAGGAGAAGGGGACAGTGACACTGTGAACACAGGCTCAGGTATTCTAGAATCAGGAAGGCAAGAGGGGAATTTGGGAAGGAAGTGGAAGTGGACCCAGTGGGGGTCCGAGCCCCGTCCCCAGAGGCCATATTGCCGTGGAGAGAGGCCTTGAGAAGTAGAATTCAATCAGGGGTGGCAAAGGCAGTGCCTGTAGGGGCCAGACACACAAACAAGCAGCCAGATTAGGGAAAGCCGTAGGAAAGGGTGAGATCTGGAGCAAACTAGAGGACCTGGGCCTTGACTAAGAGATGGCCACTGCTGAGCACCAGCCAGCCACTGCCATATGGCCCAATGTCACCAAGATTTTTTGGAGATTCAGAAATCTGGAATTTTATGCGAAATCTCCCATTTATTATAACATACACATATCCGTTGACTTCATTGCTCCTCCCTGTCCCCCTCACCTACCAGGTCCAGACCTCGGGATAGGTGAGCTCATGGATGGATGGCCCCACCCAGGTCCTGGAGTGACCTAAGCATGTTGGGTAGCTCATACCCAAGGCCATGGGATAGACAGACCCCTACCACTTGCCTGGGTCCCCTGAGCTTCATAAACTCCTAGAGGGTGATCTCATCTGCCCTCCGACCGGCTTGAAGCCCCTCCAAGGGCAGGAAGCTCTACCTGTCACTGGTTCTGAAGACCTTCAAAAGAAAGGTCTTCCTTCACTACCTTGAACCTCATTCTACTTTCTGGGCCCTGCAGCAGGAGTGGGTTCCTGGGGAAAGCAGGGGGCACTTCACCCTGGCTCTTTACTTTTTCCCAGCGTTAAAGGCCACACAGACAGAGCTGTTGGAACTGCGGCGGAAATACGATGAGGAGGCAGCATCCAAGTAAGTGAACACCCTGCTGAGGTATGCCTCCTCCCTCTGACCCTCCCAGACATGCCTCCTCCCTCTGACCCTCTCAAATACGCCTTCTGCCTTCTCTTTCTGAGTCTTCTCCCTCTGACTCACCGCCGGAAGCACCTGTTTCTTTAAGCACCCTGTGTTCCCCACCCCCATAGGCACACAGCTGTTCACCAGTCATTTGCTGTGCCATTCATGCACCACAGAGTATACATGACATTCTGGGTCATGGCGGAGCAGGGTCTGCTGGGCAGGGGCCTCCCCATCACCCCAACCTCCTAGGACTGTCTTCACCACAGCAACCCAGGCCAATCCTCAGCCGAGTGTCATTCACTTAAATTACACTGGACTCAACGTGGCCATAAGACATCACTTATTCCACAAACGCTTATTTAGCACCTACTGTTTACCCAGTGCTGTGTTGGGTCCCTGGAAGAAACATCAGAACGTGGCCCTGACCCCAGCTAAAGAGAAGAGACAGATGGTAACTGATGATATACAGTGATAAATTCGCTCCTTCACAGATACTGTTGAGCACTTACTGTATGCTCGGCCCTGTTCTGGGCACCTGGTGAACACTAAGAAGGGAAGAACTGAGAGCAGCAAGAGAGAATAACAGGGAGGGCGGGTCCTATTACCCAGGGTAGTCACGGAGGACTTCCCTAAGGAGATGACCTTCAGAATGCAACCCAAAAACGAGAAGGAGATGACCACGTGAAGAATGCAATGCCGGGTTGAGTGCTGGCGGCAGGGGGACAGCTTGCACGGAAGAAGGCCCCGAACATGCCTAAAGCATGCGCGGCTTAGAGTCACCAGATACTCCCCGCAGGCCTCTTGTGTCTCCCACCCCACACTCAGCGGAGAGGCAGCCGAGGTGGATGAGGCCTGTCCTGGCCCCCTCGATGCTGGCAGTCTGGGGGTTGGAGGGCAGGAAATCAACAAATGACCACCCTGGGGGTAAGTTGAGAGAGGCCTCCCAGGAGGACACTTTAGAGCTAGGTTTTAAAATTTTCTTTTCTTTTTTTTTTTTCTACTGCCACCAATTTTAATACAAAAGGCTGGAGGGCACGGTGGTGGGAGGGGGGCAGGCATCAAGCAGGGGCCGGGCCGCCAGTGCCAGCACAGCAGTGACCTTGCAGATCCTGGATGCCTGCTCCCTTCGTTTCCACGCCAGTTTGAAGTGGTTTGTCATACGCTTCCTGCACGACATTTTCTTCTCTATCCTTGAAACTGGATTACTGTGGCTTCCTGGTGGCATAAAACTTTTTGCAGTGTTTTATACCCTTGGAAATATTGCTGCATTAGCCAGTACGTGCTTTTTTTTTCTTTAATTCTATTTTATTTTTAATTTACATCCAAATTAGTTAGCATATAGTGCAACAATGATTTCAAGACTAGGTTCCTTAATGCCCCTTCCCCATTTAGCCCATCCCCCTCCCACAA